GGGAGGGGAGGACAGGAGAGGAGAGGAGAGGAGGGATCGAGACGGCTAGACGAGCCAAACCTCGCCAGGCCCCGCGGCTACGAGCGCCGCGCGAGCCAGCCTCTTAGGGCGGGAGGTGCCGCGTGTATGTAGCAGGGGTGGCGGGGTGACCTCCCCGCAGGCGCGGTCCTGGGGACCCCGTCTGGAAAAAAACGCGGGCGGCGGTGAACAGGCTGCTATGGGGCCCGTCTACGCCCCCGTGGCAGAAGCGCTGCCTCTGCACGCGCTCTGGCTTGCGCGACGCAGCACTCAGGACAGTGAAAGGCGCCGCCTTGGGGCGTCCTCCGCGGCGGCCCGAGAAGAGCGGACGACGGACCAGGTGCCAACTGTGCTCGCGGCACGTGGTAGAGGGGCTAACACTGACGCGCCACCCGTGTAGCGTCGAAAACGAAAACTTGGAGGTTGCCTTGTCGGGATGCCCCCCGTAGCGGCAGCGGGCCGGAAGGGCCGCAGCGGGCCGTTCCAGGCCTCTTGCGCTCGGTGGAGCCTGTCGATCAGCGGGACTGATTGTCCCTGCAGCTGGTGGACGGAGAGCGCCAGCTGGTTGGCGCGGTGCTGGAGCGCCTGCACGCTGGCGGTGCGTGTTTTCGAGGTCCATTTTGTTGCTGGCTGTTCGCCTCCGTGGAATGCTACATGAGGGCTTGCCTGCGGTCCGTGCGTTGGGCGGACCCGCTGGCCTGGCGGCCGTCACTCAGCGGCTGGCGGCCGCACTGGTCGGAACCCTGGTGGGCCGACTGAGAGGGCTGGCTCCCTTGGGCGTGATGGGCGGCCACCGCGCTCTGACTCACCTGGTCGTTGGCGGGCTGGGCGCTAGCCGGTGCAAAAGGGTGGTCCACAGCGGGGGGTCTGCGAGTGGGGAAGTCGCTATTTCCATTGTCGCTGAGAGAAGCGCCAGGCCCCGGCGGGTCGGGGTCCTCACCTTCGAAGTCGTCCGTGGATGTGGGCCAAGGGTCGTCGAGTTCGTCAAAATGGTCGGGACATGGTGGCCCGCCCGTGCGAGGTGGTCTTCACTGCGCGCCTGAGCCGCGCCCCCCCTGGACAGTGGTAAGCGGCTTTGGTGCGCCAGGGGACGTGCCATAGGGACGCACCGCGGGACGTGCCAAGGGGACGCGCTACGGAACGTGCCAGTGGACGTGCCACGGCACGTGCCAGGGGACGCGCCGCGCGACGTGCCAAGGGGACTCGCCACTGGATGCGCCACGGAACGTGCCAGAGAACGTGCCAGGTTGCAATGCTGAGCGTATCGATATTGATGTACCGTACCAAGGGCTGCACTGTGCTGCGCCGTGCTGAATTGCGATGTGCCATGCCACGATTGCACTCTGTAGCGTTGTGGAACGAATCCTCATTTGCATCCGAGTCCTGACCGAACTGATCTGGATCTTAAGCTCGAGCTGCCTGAGCACATAGTAGCTGCCCCAGAGCTAATCCCACCAGCCCTTTGGGCGTGAGTGGTTTAGAGAGCCCGCTCTGTTCTCAACCCCCTTCTTCCCCTTCGGGGAGGGGTTTACCCCTCCCCCTACCCGGGGCCCCTACCCCGGTTGGGGCTGCGCGCCCGATTAAATAAAATATTAAATCGAAGTTAAAAACCTGGCGGCACCGCGGGGCGCCCAGTCCCATGAGGGATTAAATCGAGATTTAAGCCCCCCCGCAAAACAGCCACCATTGTTGTCTATTGCTACCTCGCTCTCCCTCGCGCTCACCCCCTCCCTCTCCCTCTCTCCCTCTCTCTCTCTCTCTCTCTCTCTCTCTTTCTCTCTCTCTCTCTCTCTCTCTCTCTCTCTTTTCTCTCTCTCCTCTCTCTCTCTCTCTCTCTCTCTCTCTCTCTCTCTCTCTCTCTCTCTCTCTCTCTCTCCTTATTTTTGTTTGTCTCTCTCTCTCTCTCTCTATCTCATTTCTTCTCATCTCTCTCTCTCTCTCTCCCTCTCGCTCTCTCTCTCTCTCTTCTCTCTTTCTCTCTCTCTCTCTCTCTCTCTCTCTCTCTCTCTCTCTCTCTCTCTCTCTCTCTCGTTTGTATGTGTTCTCTCTCTCTCTCTCTCTCTCTCTCTCTCTCTCTCTCGGGCTCGCGGGGCGGGCCCCTGGCGCCGCCATGGTCGCGCCGCCACCCCCTGAAGCGCTGGGGGCCCGCCGCGCCCCGCTGGATAGCCCATGGCAGGCCGCCCGCGCCCCCACGATGGGCCGATACGCGTCCTTTCTGGCCCCCCTCGCGCCGCCCCCAAAACATGCGCCGCGCGCGTCTGACCTGGGCCCATCGGGGGGCGCACGCGCCGGCCGACCGAACGCCAGTCACCAGAGCCTTGCCGTTTCCTGGTCCTTCACTGTGGTCAGAGCTGAATGACGCTTAAGTGAGTCAACCTGCACGCATGCACAGGTTCATATCTGCAGTTATTCTTGTGAGTCGTCAAGCCTTGCCACCGCCCCCTCACATGGAAGCAAAACCATGGGGCGCTCAGCGGGCCTCGCCGCATGCTCGCCGCGGAGCGGCCGCGCAGCGGGGGTGCCAGCCACCGCAGCTCAACGCCAGCGCGGCCCACGCGCTGGGCGCGGGGGGGACGCCAGGGCGTCGACGCAAGGCCCGCCAGCCAGGCGCGCTATGAGAGCCCTTCCAGGCCGCGCATGGAGGCTGCCCACCACAGACCCCCACTGTCAAGCTCGCAGGCCCCCCCACGCCACTGCGCGGCCTGGCGCCCTTGAAGTGCAGCTGCGCGCCTCGAACCTGTCGCAAGGCCGCAAACATGACCCCCCCCCGTCCCCTGGTATCTGTACTTTTGAAATTTCCATCTCGTTGATAATTCTCAACCTTGTCTTCCTGCACAGGATCATTTTTACAGTGTCCGTGAAGCCCAAATCTCGCAGCAACAACAACAATGACAGGCTCTGGCACCCCCGCGAGCGGACCTGGCGGCACGGAAAAAGCCCCACGGCGTGACGACTAAGGCCCCTAGGCGGGCTGCCAGGCCTCTCCGGGCCGCGCGAGGTCGCCACCCGCGCTCTTATGATTGGCGGGGGAGACTGCGGGAGCGTGGCGCCCCTGGCCTTGCCAGAACATGAGCGCGCCTCCCAAGACGCCCGCGTCCACGAGAGAGGGGCAGAGAGAGAAAGAGAAAAGAGAGTGACGCAAAACAGAAAAAGACAGAAAGAGAGAGAGAGAGAGAGAGAGAGAGAGAGAGAGTAAGAGAGAGATGGAGCGGCGCAAG